GGGTTTTCTTTTCATTAAAAAAGTTTCTTTCACATTCTCAATTCTATACTCTACCTAGCCACTTTTGCTAAGATCACTTGTTGATACAAAATTTTGCTAACATATATTGCAACCATGGAAGCACACAATTCTGTGGACCCAAACTACATAATGGTAACTATAACAAACAAAATTAACATATGAAATATCTCTCAATTAGCACTTTTAAGTTATCATAGTTTTTCCATACTATACTTAAGACACTTGGGAACACTCATGAGAAATTATCATTTCTTTGGGATAAAAAATAGTATTAAAAACTAAAAACATATATTGGAGACAAAAAATATCAACAAATAAGCTTTCATTTCTATTATTGGAAGCAGCCTCAGGCACATGGCAGAAATAATTAAAGGCAAGGGGTTCAGTTTTCCAACTGCCTTTAAATATAATGTTTTATTTTACTTGAAACCAATATTATATTAAGAGCCAATTTTGTAACTCACTTTGGTTACTAAAGATATCTCTGTGTAATGGACAGTAAAATTTTAAAAGTAGATGTACATCCATTATCACTAATTTGGAATACTCTGGGAGAAATAATGGTATAAAAATATATGTGAGGTGATGGGAGTAGAAAGGATAATATAGTTTGTTCAAAGTTCTATACTTGATAAAACAGCATAGCATGAGTCCTTATAATTACTCCAAGTACAACAGAAGATTCTCTTTGAAGGAATATTTGAGTGAATGAAGGTGGATAGTTTACTTAAGGCTGACTGACTTTCATGCTTCTGTACATGTCCTGCAGAATATTTACTCAGCTCATGCCTTAGCTTTTATATTTTTGAAGTTTTCAGAGATTGGTACACACAGCTATATATACAAAACAGTTTTTGAATATCTTTCTGCAGGAATGAGGTTGAATTTGGAAGTTTTATCAATTCTCCTACTTTATGACTTTACAGTTTGTTTTGGAATTTGCAGAATTCCAAACATAAGGAAAGTCTTCCGGAACCTGAAGTTCAAATTTCCAAATGGGAACAATCCATTTTTCCCCCTTACGGTTATAAGTGAACATGAAAACCAAATGCTTCACTTGCATTACTAACAACCACACATCAAGCCCCAAATACAAATATTTTTTACATCTACCCTTGTTTAACTTGTTTTCTTAATAAAATAAAAAAGAAAGAATAAAGAAAAGAGGGTTAAGGGGAAGAGAGGCAGGGAGGAAGAGGAGGAAGGAAGTACAATCTTAACAGTAGCTTTATCTTAAGAAAAGGAAAACAAAGAACCTTGCAGAATTGCTTTGTCTTTGTTTTCCCGTGTGAAAATTAAAATTATGAAAGGCTAGGATTTAATTTCACAGAATCCCAACATGAGGACATGATACCAAATGGATATGTATTATTTTGTTGATTATGTATTATGAGCTGAAAATGGGTATATTTGGATTATTGCCAAATTTAGTTAAAAACATAAACACACTCATAACAAAAATTCTTAAAAATTATACCAAAACTAATGAATTCATAAAGCAAAGCAGAGAAATTATTCAAGCTCATTCTCTTTTATTATAAAGAATATTTTTATTTAAGATTAGATATCCTATCAAAATAGATTGTTACATAAATTCACAAATCTTTTGATTTTTCTCTTCACCCAGTCTAGTTGAATGACTTTTATAAAAGAGGAAATGTAGAATCAGAAAATTTGAGTGACTTGCTTAAGACCCTATAAAAACATAGAAATAATAATGGTGGAGTCTATGGGTGTCTTGGTGGGGGTGTAGTATCACATCTTAAACTTCTGAATCGCATACAGTGTTGTAAACCAATGTTACCTCAATAAAAGAAAAAATACAGAGCCAGAGCTAGGAGTACAATGCATAGTCTGGGGCCATTTCAGAGAAACATTTTCTCTTCTTTGGGGTGTTCAGTGAAATTCAGGCTACATGTGGTTTTGCCAACGTTGGAAACGGTAATTATTGTTCCAGCCCAAATTTCCTTATTTTGATCTATCTTTTATGCATTTATTTTTCATTTTATTTTGGTCAAAAGATAACATCTAGAGTTTTATAGTTTTAAATTATAGCATGGTTTAACTTCTATTTGAATTTTTAAATTTCTTTTCTTTTTGGCTATTTTAAAATGCACATAAGGCTTAAGAGCGTCGCAGTTTCTCCAGATGAATGTCACCGCGCTGGCGCCACATGTACAGTCAGAGTCTCCAGCCAGCACTCCCCGCCCATCTCCCACACAGCCCCTGGCAAAAATATATAACCTCAAAAGTCACAAAACATAAGTCTCATCTTTCTTTTGTAGAGCAAGGATGCTTAATGGATTTTTTCTTCATTGTTTTTCCTTGGTACGGGAATTGAATACATTATATTTTGAAAACAAACAAACAAACAACACAAAACACCATTCTATCTAATTCTTATGCCCCTGGATCCTTTCATTTTCATTATCTGCCTTCCACACTCTCTCCACTCCTTCTCACCCTCCTCCTCCTCCTTTTACTTTCTTCTTCCTCAAAAGAAGCTACCTTATTTACCAGTAACTGAAATTAAGAAGGGTAAATCAAAACTTGGGAACAGAAGAAAACACGAGCTGTAGAAATATAGATCAGACCTTAAGATTTTATTTTCTCAATATATCTTCCCATTATTCAATTAATAGCCTAAAATATATATTGTAGGTCCATAAAATATATATACGTATATATATAAAATTCAAATCGAAGTTGTTTTATCCTTGTGAGAGACACTTTGTGATATTTACCATCATTTTATTATTAATGCATTTTATTATTAATGCATATTAATTATGGGTTAACTACTATGCAAGTTTGAATTTTGCTACTTATAGCCTATCCTCTTCATTCCCAACCCATGAACATAGAGATAAACAGATTCTTAAAATATAAAAACTATTTTAAATATATAGCAAGTACAAAGTTTCTTTTGGAGGTCTACAATTCTCTGTCAAGTGTGTGTTCTTTGTCAGAAGCAGCTGCATGGCCCTTTTCTCATCTCTGCAATTGCCAGAAGAATCAGTGAGCAAAACAACATGCTAGCTTTGTCTCTGTAAGATTTAGCAAGTCATTTCACAGAAATAAATGAACTCCTAGGTGACAAGTTAGGTGTTTATGTGCTTAACACACAGTTGATTGGAAGGAATTTTTCTGCATCATTATGTTAAATAAAAGAAAAATAATGAGCAGACGTCAGATGAATACATATTTTTCATAATGAATGAACTGTAACCCAAGTTAAAAAGGCTTCCATTCATTTGAAACAATGACTTGCCATAGCCAATGGCAAGATGGCAACGCTGACCCTGCACACTGCTGAGACCACAGTCCTCCATGGTCACCCACCATCGTTCCTTTGCTCCAGGCTCTGTTACCTCCATGAGCAACTGCAGCATCAGGATTCCTGAGTACAGCAAACTTTACTGCACTTGTATTTTAAAAGCAGTTGTAAGCGGGGCCGCATCTTCTAGGGAATATTCCAAGGGGTCTGACAGCTCTGGGCAGTGCTCAAGGGACAGTTCTCAGGTGCCGAAATCCAAGGTCAAGGTAAGTGATCTGCCTTGGGGCTGTGCATTGTTTTGCCCAGGCACTTCTCTCAAGGAGGACTCTGCACATAAATCAGAGACAGGGTCTGTCTCTACAGAGGCAAGATGAAGCTGAGGGCATGAAGGAGCCATTGTGTTTAGCACTTGGCTGGGTGCTGAGGGTGTGATTATAGGCTGGAAAAACAGCCTTGCAGAAGTTCAAGTGCCTGATTATAAAACAGCCATTAATAGGGCAGCCCAAATGCAAAGTACTGAAATAATGAATAAGTTTTCAGGACAAATGGAATTAATTTACAATGTATAGAAGGCAGTCTGCCCAATTGTTCAGCTCTTTGTATAAATAAATAATTAAAAGTACACATATTCTACCAAATCTTTATGATTTTTTTTCAATAGATTTCTTGAACTCTTTTTGGAACTAAAGTTAGAACATGCTTTTTTAACTTGACAAATAAAAGCTGCTAAATGTATTAGTTGTTTGCTATTACAAAAGAATTGGACTAAATAATGAAGTATAAGCATGGACCTTAGTTTTAAAATCTATTAAGACACCTGTTTTGAGTCTTTTGAGAATCATTTTTCTCTTTCTCTGGTGAGGTTGACTCTACTTTGATGCTAAATTGAATACATTGCCACTTGACAATGAGTTACTACGTGATTTGAAAATTTTCTGTTTAGAAACGCCATCATCGGGCTTACCCTGGTGGCGCAGCGGTTGAGCGCTGGGCTGTGAAGCTGCCCGCAAACTCTGCAGCGCCGGTTCGATCCCCAGCCATTGGCGAGGGTGCCACATGGTGCACAGCCCTCTCCTGCTGTGTCCACTGCTCCCCTCAGAAGTGTATTTCATCGGTCTGCCTGTTCTGTTCCCTGCTCTGGCTCTGGTGAATTATCTCACCCTCCCCCACTTCTGACTGTACCCAGTGCTTGTATAAATAAATAAATAAACAAATAAATAATTAAATAAATAAACAAATCTTTAAAAAAAAAAATGACATCATCTCATTATCTTTATTAAAAATTCCAGAAGATATGCTACATGTAGAAAACAATTACAGAAAATCTTGATCAATAAAGATATATAACAAAGCACAATATTTAATGTTACTGTGTACTCTCTTGCTTAGGGTAACTATAAACATACAGAACTGAGGTGGAGGTTATCAATAATAATGGGTCATTTCCTCAAGAGGCAATATTTTTAAAAGATAAAAACATCTGACTGGTGACATTTTGGGGCAGTTATGATATCAAACAATAGCTTGGAGTCAATAAATTTTGTGACAGGAAATTATCACACCATTTATAGATTATTTGATGAAAATACAACTATATATTGTAAGAGTATGCCTTCAAGAAAATCCACAGCACAGGAAAAGACTAAAATGTTTCAGCTCTGTGAGAGATGCTACATGCGGTATGCCTTTTTTTTTTTTTTTTTTTTTTTTTGGGAAAATACATCTTTGTATATTTTCTTACCTAAAACTTTCCACATGACCTTTCCCAAGTGATCTTCTGTGTGTCTTTTTGTTGTTGTCATAACAGGTGTAGATTGGGAGGAAAATTGAGAGTTTGTTTCTTTTTCCTTTTCATCGCCTTCATTTGTAATGTATAACTGTCAACCAATCCAGAGACTACAATAAATAACGTGTATAGAATACCATGCACAAGCCAGAGATACTTCTATTTTAACGCTTTCAACATCTCTCTGTACCTTAATTCAATAGGCTGATTCAGGAGGTCTTGTCACATCCACAGTTGTTTTTTGTTTTAAGATTTATTTATTTATACAAGCTCTGGTGTACAGGCCAGAGGTGTGGGAGGGTGAGTGAATCCACCAGAGACAGAGCAGGAAGCAGAACAGGCAAAAGGACCAAAATACACTGCTGAGGGGAGCAGCAGGCAACAGAAGAGGTCTGCCGCACCATGTGGGAATCTCCCTGGCCGGCCAGGAATCAAACCAGCACTGCAGAGGCTTCAAGCAGCCTCACAGTGCTGCGCTCAACCCGCTGAGCCACCGGGGAGGCCTGCATCCACAGTTTTATAAACAGCCTGAATGATTTCTCTAACTAGGTCTCTTATCTCTCATCTCCTCACTCTGCTGCAGTATCATATGCCTGCTTGGCATTAAAGCATGGCAAATACTGACTATCCTCAGGGCTTCACACTCGCTGTTCCTTCTCTCTAGAATGTTCGACCATCACTTAGCTCCTTGATTCATTCATCTCACTTCACTTACATCTCCAGTCATTGGTTACCTCAGCAAGATCTTCTCTTCCCACTCCATGAAGAACAGTACTCTAGCGATGGTACATTTATTCTTGTTCTATTTTGCTTAATTGTGAATATCCCCATAGGACATTATACTAGCTATTAATGTTGTTATTTAATAAACAGATAATGAACACCCTTAGTGCATTATAGGGTCTTTAGAAAGAGTAGAGAACAAAATACATAAATGTCCTTCCCCTCATAGAGGTTACATTTTACTGAGGAAAATACAACATAGAAAAGACAAATAGGCTTTAAAAAATAAGGTATGTTATATAGTAACAAGAATGATAGATTTTTAAAAACAGAGCGAGAAAGAAAATATAAATGGTGACAAGAATTGGATTGAAATTTAAGGTAGGAAGTTAGTAGAGGAGACTCTTAAATAAGACATTGAATGTTGGGAGGAAGCTAACACTTTAGAAAACTGTAGATTGAAATTTCAAGAAGAAGAAATAACATTCAGAATGGGTTGGAGACAGGGAGGATAAGCTCAGTAGATTCTCTGTCATCTACCTCCAGAATGCAACTTGTATTAGAGCAGGGATTTTGTCTGTCTGGCCCAGTATTAAATCCCCAGAGTCCAGAACAGGAAGCTCTAGCCAAGCATGCATGGGTTAATGATTCTCAGTTTACAAATGAGATAATCGAGGCACAGTAGTTAAGGAACCTGCCCAAAGTACCCAGGTGAACATAAGTGGTAGAATTAAGGTTTGAACCAAAAAACTCTAACCCCACAGACTGTATTCTGACCATTATCTTCTGTTTCTATAGAAGTGTCAGATTCTCTCTGAAAGTAAGCACACGTGGTATGCAGATTAAACAGCTCGATCAGGAATCCATACAGACTATGAAGAGAGGAAAAGGAAGGAACTATTCTGGACTATTTTCATTCCCAATTTTAAGTTGACACTCAGCAAGGTTAACACTTGTCCCAAGGTTAAGTCCAGGATTATGTGTATTGAAGGCTTGAGAGACTGGCAAGAGATGGGTCATGTTCCCTCTCTGGTTCTTGCAAAATGAAAAGGTGGGTAGATAATCCCTAACCATTATTTTCCATTTTATTTTTTTTTTTTTAAGATTTATTTATTGATTGATTGATACATACATACATACAAGCACTGGGTACAGTCAGAAGCGTGGGAGGGTGAGAGAATTCACCAGAGCCAGAGCGGGGAGCAGAGCAGGCAGAAGGACCGAAGTACACTGCTGAGGGCAGCAGCGGGCAGCAGGAGAGGTCTGCGCGCCATGTGGGACCCTCCTCCGGTGGCCGGGGAGCAGCCGGGGATCGAACCGGTGCTCTAGAGGCTGCGGGCAGCTTCGCAACCCAGCGCTCAACCGCTGCGCCACCGGGGAGGCCCGATTATTTTCCATTTTAATGGTCACTTATTGAGTTCCTGAAAATACTTTAGAAAGTTTTGAACAATATTTGTCTCTTCAAGACATAAGTAGAATTATTCCACAAAGAGAAATGGACACAGACATTGTAAGGAGTAAGGGTGTTTGAAGAGAAAACAATAGGGCATACAATATATTCATTAAGGAAACAGCATACAAGTGTATACCTGCATGGCTGGGAGACAAGGTAAGTAGTGAGGCAAAGAAGGAATATCAGGAATTTTCAACACCATGATAAGGAATTTGAATCCTATTCTATAATGGGTATCTGGATGTATGGGCAGTTTCTACAGTTGTCAGGGTTGTTTTGTATAGTTCATATTGTCACTAGTACATCTCTAGCATGGGTTACAGCAAAAAAAAAAAAAAATCAGTTTCTTGTGCTAAGATGCTTTCTTTGACATGAATTGTTTCAAGGCAAAGTCAAAAAGGAAGAGAGAGTGCTTTTCAAAATGATTGGAATAAACTGCATGGATGCAAAAATAACAATAGCATAGAAAATACTATTTTCTATCCTGCACTAGGTCATTGGAAACTGACAAGCAGGTAGTCCACTCTCATGTAGTTCATCACACAGTGGAAGACATAATTAAATAAATGACACAGGAACTTATTCCCCAAATCACCTGATATTGTATAAGGTGTTAAGAGTTAAAATACAATTCTAAACTGAATATGGTAAATTTTGGAATTTTCAAAAGACTGTAAGTAAACAAGAATGGCAACTGTGGAAAAGAGCTGCAGGGTTCCTTTAAGTGGTGGGTTCAGTGGTCAAGAAATTAAGGAACAATAAAAGCTGTTTATAGAGAATCCAGCCCCATTATTTCTTTCCCCCCCTTCCTTGGCCCACCTCTCCTACCCTCCTCTTCCCTCTTTGTACATTTTGAAGGAGTCATCTTTGTGAAAACCTCAGAAAGCTTCCTTTATAGACTGTGATTCATCAGTTGTATACCGAATTGTATTTCTTGATGACTCACATGTTGGACAACCCATTTGTGCCTTCATTTTTAACTGGAGACTATACTTGTACTCCAGAATTGTATATAGTTCACAGGGTCAGTAGCATATTAGCACATCGACAGTGAGGCTAATTCAAAATTAATATAGGGGATCCAGCAACAGTTTATAAAATGCACTAGGACAATTTAGTAGGAATCCATTTTTGAACAGATAAATCAAAAAGAAAAAAAATGTTTAGCACAGACGCATAGATACTTTCAGCGTATTAGAAAATTTCAGCCACTTTCAAATCTAAATATTGAAGTTAACTCAAAAGAATCAATAAATTTTGGGCCTCCCCGGTGGCGCAGCGGTTGAGCGCTGGGTTGCGAAGCTGCCCGCGGCCTCTGCGCCGGTTCGATCCCCGGCTGCTCCCCGGCCACCGGAGGAGGATCCCACATGGCGCGCAGACCTCTCCTGCCGCCCGCTGCTCCCCTCAGCAGTGTGCTTCGGTCCTTCTGCCTGCTCTGCTCCCCGCTCTGGCTCTGGTGAATTCTCTCACCCTCCCGCGCTTCTGACTGTACCCAGTGCATGTATAAACAAAACAAACAAACAAATAAATAAATAAATAAAACATGCCTCTATAAAAAAAAAATTTAAAAAAAATTAAAAAAAATAAAAAAAGTAAAATAAATAAATAAGTGAAAAATGTTTAATAATTCCAAAAAACAGTTTAATAAAATATGGAATAATAAGAAAAAAAAAGGCTACTGCACAAACTTGAAAATAAATTGTCAATAGAAAAGTATCTCTAATAATCAGAATTTAGTTTTCTATCAAACAAATGACTATATAAGTGGTTAATGGCAGGCTTTTTGGAACGTTGATGATAGATAATTATTTTCAGTTTAAGTGAAAATAAATCTATACAATTAGTTAATCCATCATAACAAAACTTTAGCTCATTTATTTAGATGCAGAAAATGAGGGCAATAGTCATGCTCTTTTGGAAATGAAGTTGTTGTATACTATTATTTCAGAATCTTTGCATTTTTAAGTAATATTCATGTAAGAACTATAAATACAGTGTGTTTCTATTTTTCTCTGTTCTATTTTGCTTGCATCTGAAAACATTTTAGTATTATTACCAAGAAAATATCTTTTTCCTTTATTTTAGCTTTAAGTAATCATTAAGCTACGTTCTCTGTTTTGCTAATGAAAATAAATGTGGAGGAAATGAAATGAATTGGATAAAAACAATTTACACTCCAAGAGAGGGGAACAATATGAGAATTGATAAGAGAAAATATAGGAGAGGTATTACTGGTAGCATTAGTATACTGATTTTTCCACGTGGAAATGAAGTCCAGCATGGGAGAGGAGATAAAATACATGGTCCATGGTCATTAAAAGAGGAATTAATGTCTGTTTCCTTAATAGAAACCTAGGAAGGGATAGGGCTGGGTTTTTAAAACTGTATTCATATAGTTATGTATTTTAACATTTACAGAGAATTTCCCTCCATTCTTTTTTGGAAAGACATTGCAATGTTAAGAGGAAAGATTTTGATGAAATGACTAGAGGGTGAACTTTTTAAGTCACACAAAAAGAAAGGTAAATTCATTCATTTCTACTTATTTATTTGCATATGAATATGTGGAAACTATAGTCCAGTTCTTTGACACAAAACTGGAATAATTAAAGGAGAATGACTAGTTACCTTTAGGAAGCTTCCTCCAAAATGATCATGCAAAATGCCATTTCTATTCAGTAAAATTCAAAGATTGCTGAATTATCAATGGCTTTAGTAATAATGGCTGATATTACTCCTGAATAGGAGCTCGTACTTTGGAAGATACTGAAGCGATTTATCTAGAGTTACTTTTTTTTATTTAAATATTTTATTTTATATAATTCTTACATCTTTTTTCATCTTTGCACAATGTATGCATTTTCATTTTGGTTATATTCCCCCTACAATTGCCTGACCCCCCCCCCTTATTTTGA